CTTTTTTTTTTCTTATGTTATTTATCAAACTTGAGCATATTTATCTTTAGTTATGTTTTATAAATATATTTGAACAAATATGTAAAATAATTGTAAATAAAATATTATTTCAAATAATGAAAGTGTGTGCAATTTTAATAAAAATAATATTATTAGAATCCAATTTATTGGTCAACAATAATATAACATTGTAGTATTTATGCATATATATTTAATTATTAAAATTATTTCAGATTTTATTAAGAAATTATTATTAATTTAAATTAATCATTATTATCTATATTTTTAAATAACATTATTAAATATAAGAGTCCATTTCTAACAGTAAAACTATCTAAATATATTATATACAAATGATTCAAGTATATTATAATTATTCTTAATATAAATAAATAAGTATCTATATAAATATAATTAATTGTCCATGTTAAGGTAATTCAAAACAAAAATCTGATACTTTTTTTGACAAAATTGGTAATTCCAGTAGAATTATATAAATTTTATTAAATAAAATTACAATTATTTTAGATATGGAATCACCATATAAAAATATGCAGAAAATAAAAAATATTTAAATTTAAATATTTTTACTTTTATTTTTTATTTATTTTGTTTTAATTATGTTTTTTAATTAAATTAAAAAATATAATCTTTTATTATCTGTAAATATTCGAGTTATTTTATATATATTTTATATAATAAATAAATTCAATAATGAAAATATGATATGTATTTCGAATCGAGAAATAAATATTCATTTTTTATAGAAAACAGTTCTTCAACTTAAAATCAAATTAAATATTTTTTCATATTGAAAATATTTATTTCAGAAAAATAATAATTAATTACTATTACGATCTTACAATTTTTACTTACAATTTTTAATTTCAAGTTTCACAAAAATAATTAAATATCAAAAATAAATAAAGAAACTCTAAAAATTATGTATAAAATCTAACTCATATTATAAATTTTTAAAATTAATTTCAGTCATATATATTTTCATTTCTATGCTTATAACATTTACTTATTATTATGTTTTTAAAATTAATATTTCCTATAAAGGAGTTCGAATAAATAATTATATTAAAAATAATACAAAATAAATATTAAAATTTTACTTATTTTTTTTAAATTTTTATTAAAAGAAACTTTCTTTCATTTAATTATTTAATTAATCATATTTACAAAACATTTTATGTTATAATAAATAATATTTCAAAATTAAACAATATTTTTTCACATATCAAAAAAATGTTAGTTTTTTCATCACTTGGACTTCCTATCAAAATAATCAAGAAATTATACAAAAATAACAAATTTTTTTTCATTAAAAAATAACTCAAAATTATCCAGAAAAGATAAAAATTTATTTTATATATAATATCAGTTACAATTAATTAAGTTTAATAAATTGAAACTTTGTACTATCTTTAAATATATACGATTTTATTTTTTAAATTATTAGATATTAAAAATACAATTTATAATTTTATAAATTTAAAATTCATTAATATCTATATTATAATTATTATATATTATTTATATTATAATGTTCGATTTGAATAATACTATGATTTGAATTCATATTTGAAATTTAACATCTTGTAATCCAATCTATTTGTGCAATGCACAATGTAGAAAAACTTCTCACTGATTTCAATGACTTTGAAATATATGAGCATTATTTTAAATAACTTTTCTGAGGATACTGGATAAGAAAAAATTACGATATATAATAAGAAAATGATACGATATATTTCAAAGTAATTGAAATCATTGAATGAGAAAGCATTTTCTCCAAAAGTTTATTTTTTATTTTTACTTAAGTTAATGGAATCTAATTACTCGTTTTCATTATTTTTTTTTTTTGTTATTTCTATGCTATTATGAAAAAAAAATAACAAAAATCTCATTTCAATCCATAAAACGACAATAGTTTTTTTACAGAAAATAATTCGAAAATTAAAATATTGATTGTCATGTATTTGTAAAAGGGTAGTTTTTCAACAAGTTTATCCTATTTCTTATTAGAATTTCTATTAGAAATTTCTTCTTAGAGAAATTTTGTTATTAACAATAATTAATATTTAAAAAAATAAGATATAATGCATTTAGTTTATATTTGAATCATCAAAGATTTTTCTCAATCGAAAAAAAAAAGATAAAACACATATAAAAAAAGAAGATATCTCAAAAATAAGAATATATGTAAATACTAAAGTGTATTTATGACTTTATAAATACATTCATTAAAGAAATCTTTATAATTAATGTTATGATATACATTAATAAATATGTATTAAAAATTCGATTTTTTAATTTGAAATCAAGCAGAATTTGTATATAAAATAAATTATAAGATAGATTTCTTTATTTCATACAAGCATTAATCAATCAAGTCCAAAACCTCTTTAGATTCAATAGATAAAAGATTCATCATATATTACTTGCTAATTGCTATTATTCACGTTTACGGTGTTAAAGAAATAATTAGAAAAAATTATTTAGATTAAGATAAAATCTGTAAATGTATATAATGTATTCTATATATAATATATACAATATATTATATATAAAATATAATATTAAATAATTATATAATATAAAATATAATATAAAATAAAATATTATATATAAAATATATAATATAAAATAAAATATTATTATATATATTCTAAATATATTATATATTTAATATATATATGTTAATATATATATAGAATAAAATAAATAAAAATATGTAACTATCATAATTATTTCATAACTTGCTCTTGCAATTTTAATAATATATATATAATAATAATATATAATAATATAATTATATAAAATTTAAAACTTTAGAAAATTTATGATTTATACAAATAAATGCAAAAATATTTAAATTATGTTGGAAAATATTGAATTTAAATATTTAATTATCATTAATCTTTAAAAGATTAATTTAATCTTTTTTTCTTTTATCAAAAGTTAAAATCTCAAACTTTAACTGCCATTCGAATAATTAATAAATCGATATAAATAAATTAGATTGAAAATATAAATTAATATTATTACAATACAATTACTATAATATATAATTTCGATCTAAATATTAGTAATAAAAATCTATATCTAAAAACAGTTTTTAGGATTTTATGATTTTTTCAATTATATAAAATAATCAGCTAATTTATAATTTTTAAAATATATTTATAATTTTTTAAATTTTCTTCGTTTCATTAGAATAAAAAATAGTATTATACAAGAGAATTTATTAGAGTTTTTATTTACACTAATAATTTATAAAATTTCAATAATAATAATTTTATTTTATAAGAGAAACAATTAATAATAATTATATAATATAATAAAATAATTTTTATGTAATATATTATACAATTATTAATCTTCTTATATTATATATATATGTATTAGTATTATCAATAAAATTTTACAAGTATAGTAAAATCTCGAAAAAAGTACATAATATAACAATTTATTGCATATTATTATATATATTTCAATAAATTTTTTCTTGATTTTTTAATAAATTTTTCTATTCTTTCTACTAAATTATAAATTTTTAAATTATTAGTTTTGTAGCATTATTTTTTTTTTATATTTCATACTATTTAAAAATTATTTTTATTATTTTATTGTTATAAATGCTTTTGAAAATTAAAAATTGAAAATATTGTTTTGACTTATTGTTTTCTTAAATTTTGAATATTTTAATAATTTCTTTGTTAGTTACATAGTTTATTTTTAAACAGCACTAAAGATATTAGCTTTAGTGCAATCTCTACAACTTACTGTAATATTGTTAGTATAAAATTAGGCAGATATATATATATTTAATTCCTTTTACCATTGATATTATTTAGATAATTGAACGTCTGAATAATAGATGTTCATATAATCAAATTCAATTAATAGAATAATCGAGATCCTACTATAATTATATATTATTAATTAATTAATTATATATTATATTATATATATGTATAATATATAAAATAATTTATAATAATTGTATAATAATTATATAATTGTATAATAATAATAATGTATAATGATAATAATTTTAAAATATTTAATTAAATTAATGATAACAAAGAAGAAAAGAAATATATAACAAATATTTGCAAAAATTAGAAAATTAGAAATCAAAGAAATTCAATTCAATCATATACAAGATTTTCCATCACATTGAAGAACCGCTTCAATTTATATACGAAAATATATATACGAAAAAATTTCATATAAACATATTTTCAAATTATATAATAACGAATTTCTTCTTTAATATTGTACCTGTTTATTTTTATAAAAGATATTCAAAATACATCCGAATATAAACTCGAAAACGTTTTACATTAATCATTTTATTCTTCTCATTTTTCTAGATATTCATATTTTTTGGAAATCTTATTCAAGTATTTCGAACTATCAAAATATGTTCTGAATATGATGAATCTAGGGATATTAAATTCCATTTCAATATAATAGAATTAATTCAATTATTTTAATCACTATAACTTAAAAACAAGGGACAAAAATGGAACATATATTTACTTGAACTTTTTTTATTGTTTTAGATAAATTCGTGCATTGAGTGGCTTTTTGATATGATAGAATACTCTATATCAATAAATCTAAGCAACATAGAAACCCTTGAAATACTCCATGTCTGTAAAAAAATGCTTTACGATCGAAATTGAGAAAAGATAGATATATAAATAGATAAAATAGAAGAGAAATAGAGAAAGACAAATATTGTGATGAGAAAGAATTCGCCCGTTCACACTAAAGAAGAAAAACGTAGTTAAACGAAGCTACGTAGCTAAACGTTTGAGAAAATTATAATAGCACACAGAGAGCGTACAATGAAACTTACTTATTTCATCTCGCTGACTGGAATAATTATAATAAAAGTTTTCAGAAAGAAAAGAAGAATAAAAATAATGATATCACCGTTTTTAAATGACTGCCAGTGCTATTGCGATCAAAAAGGATATGGATTAGTGATGAGTGCCAGACACCAGTTGCGCGGCCGTGTATTCTGGTCGAGATATCGCAATGCAACCGGCACGAAACCAGGATAAGGTAACTCATTCACATCATCTACTCCATTGTCCTCTTCATTTTCATCTTCCTCTTCGTCTTCGTCATTCTCGTCATCATCATCATCTTCATCCTCGTTATCATCCTCATCCTCCTCTTCCTCCACGTTTTGTTCAACACGTCTATTGGTCGACTGGCTGCCTCCATCTTCATCCTCGTCATCTTCGAGATCACTGAGTTCGGCAACATCACTGTCGGAACCTTGTTCTCCATTTCCTGATCCGACAGCTTTACTAGCCGGACGATACCGATATCCTTGGGGATAATGCAACGACATGCTTCCCGTCTTAGATCTCGTTCCACTAAACGCGAGGATGACGAATCCTTGAAAAGCGTTCAGTGGCAACTTATCACGAGGATGGTCTGAGATTTCCGAATAGGTTTACTGAAAGATTTATCACAGGAAAGATTATTCCTGAGTGTTTGCGACAAAATAGATGTCGCTGCTCCAAATGATGTGATTAGGTGGACAGATAAGAACGACATCGAGGACTCGTAAATTCGATCAGTTGTTCGATTATTTTATCACGGTCCAGATATCATGAACAATATGAACATGTTTCTCGTACGTTCTACCGGTAGAAACATACACAGTACTTTCGGTTACAAAAGTCTCGAAATCGAAGAAGCTGCCACACATCCACTGACCGCATTTTACGAAGTAATGATAGCAGTGAAATCCAGGTGCGTAACAGTATGCCTCGCGATGCGCTTGCCCGGTTTCTCTCACCTGCAATTCTCTCACCTTCGGGTATCTTCTCGTACGGAGATCGACTCACCTGCTATCAAGCAAGAGCTATCACTCATGAACTATCATTCTAAATCGTGGAATACGATTGTCGAATAATAATGATAAGGAAAAGTTTAATTTTGATGATAATATCGATAGGGAAACATTGAGGAACAACAGAAAATGAGGATAGAACATCTGCCGTGTAAAACGTGTGAAATTCGTCCCTAGAGAGACACTTTTGGCAGCAAGATGGAAAGGCAAAGCGCGTGAGTGGCGCGTGGTATGTCGCGTGGCCCGTTAAAAATGATCCTAGCCTGTTCCTTCACTTGAAACATATATATATTTTTTTTCCTATTGCTAATACAAAACCTCGATCGTATACGACTAATGACCACGAATTGGCCTACCTGAGAAAATTACTATAAGATCCACAACCCATATCAAACTATTCACGAACGTACGCGTCGACGGTGCCCGGCGCAGCGTCGACCGGTGACTGAAAAAAACGTCGAACATCCTTGTCGACAAAATGGAACGCATGCGCGACCCTTCCATCTATGCGCCCCTCGCTCATCCATTTCATGACCTTCTGCATCTTCCCTCGAGAAGATTAGTAGATTCTCCTACTCTTCTTCGTCTTCCTTCTCTTCTCTCTTTTATTTTCTTTTTTCATTCGCGTAAATTCTCTAATCATAGATATATATTCAAACTATAAGAAGAAAGGAAGAGATAATCAGAAATAAGTAAGCAAGAAAGCAAACTAATCTTATAGCTCTTCTTGGGATCTTGTCGCTTTCGTTTTTTATTGCCAATGAAGTGCCTCGCGTGCTTTCTTTTCTCTTCCTTTTGAGACATACATATACAATACATAATATACAATACATATGTTTCAATTTAGTAATCATATATATGTATACATATGTTATATATGAAACTCGTTTAAATTATTGAACGCAATAAGTAATAAGCAATAAAATTTATTATTTATTATGAATTTTATTTTTTTTTTTATGTAAAGAAATATTTTGATAAATTATTTTTAATCATGATTTTTTAAGATTTAATAAAAAAAATCTGAAATAATATTAATGTCAGTTATACATTCAAATTTCATTATATTTAAAAATAATATTTATCTCTATTTGTATACATACATATATATACATATATATTTTTCTATTTTATCTCATTATTTATTTGTAAGACAAATAAAATATATGTATATATTAAATCTTTTAAGATTAAATTTCTGATTCTTTTTATTTCAGTTTCCTTCCCGCTTTCTTCTCTTAGACTTTTTTTCAATTCTCTCTTCCTTTTTTCAAATTCTCTCTTCCTCTAGTGGTTTATATATGTGTCTATTTTCAGTTGGAATTCAACACGAGATTTTACGGTAGAGACCGTATTATATATCGCTTCTAACAAAAGCCCATTAATCACGAATCAATATAAAAAAACAAATTATATTACTTTTTGTAAAACTTTTGTAAATTACTACTTTTTGTAAATTATTTGTTTTTTTGCAAATATAGCATTATATTTATGATTAAATAAATAAAGTACAAAAGTCAAAAATAATAGCACATAACTTTACACATTCACTTTATTAAAACAAAAATCATTTACAAGTATTTTCAAGAAATAAAACTATGTTTATTAATAATATATATTGATATTGGAAAATATGATACAATATATGATTTAAGATTTGAAATTTTATTATTTTGCTATTTTTATAATTTATAATCTCATGTAAAGATAAAATCATTTTTATTATTGAATATAATTATTAATTAATAATAATTAAAATACTTTTTTTATTACTGTTCATCTAGCAATATTGCTAATTGTTCAGAATTTGTAACAGGTAAAGAACACGTACAATGTTTGCATATATAAACCGTTGTTCGATTATTCACAGGCTTCATATTTCTGAAATGTTCATTTTTACGAAATAATATGCTATTTGTTTTATCATGATCAATTAAAAAAAGTATCCTTCCTGGTATTAAACGTTTATATATAACGCTAAGTAAATCATCAGTATCCTTGGCATTCCGTTTACCAACCACATAAATCTAAAATACGAAATTTATGCAAAATTTCATTTCAAAAACTTATCAAATTTCTGAAAATAGTTAGCATGCTCAATATAAGTTTTTTACACATACCTGTGTTGCATCATCATGATAACGTATAAGAGCCGATACTAGCTGTGGAATTGAAACAGGTCTTTTAATTAGTAAATGTCTAAATGTTCCAAAAAGACGCACAGCTTTATCTTTAAATTCACTACGTCCCAAATAATCTGCCAATCTTAATAAATTTTCGGCAGCAATTGAGTTACCGGATGGTTCTGCTCCGTCACAGGCTATACATAAGATTATAAATCTTAAAATACATATATATCCGATCTTTTTTTTTCATTCATGTTGCAAGCTAATATTAAATCATAATCAACAATCGTAACCATAACTGCCACTAATCTGATAAATTTAATAATGAAACTGAAATCTGCTATAAATATTTAAATATGCTTATTTCTACTGTAGAATATTGATTTCTTTAATTTCATAGTATAATATAATATTGAATTATTACGCATAATTACATATAATATAAAATCATAAAAATTTTAATTATCAATCCAAAAATATCTTCAAAATATATTTAAAAATACCTTCCTTAAGCCTGAGAATTATACTAGGATCATTCGATGTTGTCGAAAAATATCCACCATTTGTTTCATCCCAAAAAAATTGATCTTGAAGATCTTGTAATTTCTCAGCAAATTCGAGCCATTCTTCGTTTAAATCAGATTCATATAAATCTAACAATCCTTTTATAAGAAATGCATAATCGTCTAAAAAACCTGGTATAGGTGTACTCCTAAACATAAAATATCAAAATCTATATTATGTATATAATTTATCTATATAATTTAATAATAATAACAATATTCTTACATTTGTGTAATTATATTTTTTTCGTCGCGATAACAACTATGGAGTAATATATTTTTTGTTTTATCAAAAAGATGTCGTTTAATAAATTTTATAGCATCTACTGCATACTCAATATATTGTTTGTTATTTACAGCTATTCCTCCAAAAGCTAAACCACTAATCATGAGACCTAAATTCAGATTTCTTATTATTTAATAATCAGACTATTATGTATGTATTAATATACTATATATCTAACTATATATATAAATATATACTATATTGTTATATATAAATATATTGTTCATAAGTACCATTCCATGCTGTAATTATTTTATCATCTAAATGAGGTCTCGGCCTTGTAGATCTAGTTTTATATAAAATAGAACACGCTTCCATCAGATGCATTTTCACTTCTTCAACTGGAAGATTAAAATGCTTAGCTGTTTCTTCAATTTCATTGTACATTATTAATACATTTTTTCCTTCAAGTTCTCCATGTGGATCCTAATAGATAAAAAATTATTAATCATATGAAATAAGAATTAAAATGTCTTTATAATTAATAAAAAAAAATTTTTTTAAATAAATGTAATAGAATTCTTGTTTGATAAATAAATATTTTAAATAAATATACATTTTTCTTAAGATTTATAATTTATAATTATAATAAGATTTATAATTATTATTTCTTAAGATTAAATATTTTTCACAATAATAATAATAATAATAATAATAATAATAAAATAATAATAATATAATAATATATATAAAATATAAAATATATATAATATAAAATAATAATAATAATAATAATAAATATAATAATAAAATAATAATAATAATAAAACTTCAAAAAAAAACTTTTAATTTATTTTATATAAGAATATTAAAAAAATATTAATTGATTTTGAAAAATATAATATTTTAACAAAAAATTAAATAAATATAATATCATTATACTAAATGTAATAGATATAGAAAATAACATATATAATAATTATATTATATAGTTATATTATAAACATAATAATTAAAATAAATATAACAATAAAATATATATAATAATTATTATATTAATTTTTAATTAAATAGTTTACAATTATGTAATTAATTTTGATATTATAAAGACAATATGGTCAATCTATCGATATATATCTTTGGTGATATCTTTATTAATCTTAATGAGCTTGAAACATGTCAAAAGCAGTTTGTCAAAAGCATTATTTTGAATAATTTTTTTCTTTACATATAATTTTAATCTAAGTTAATCTGAATTAATCTGTTATACACAAAAATATTTTTCATATATATAAACAAGTACATAATATTTATATATTCCTAAGACTGTTTTGAGAGTTTGATTTTAAAAATCAAAACGAATAAAAATTTTGCTATATAGAAGTATTGTTTGAGATTTATTTAAAATTATTATTAGCAATTTAAATTATTAGTATTAGTTAAAACAAGATGGCTTTATTTCTGTCTCATTTCATTTAACATAAACTTAAAATTCTTATAATTTAATAAATAAATCTTAATAGATATTTCTAAAATATCTGAATTTCTAAAATTATCTCACAAATATATTAACATTCTTTCTAACATAATAATCATATAATAATCATTTCATAATCACTTATATGTAATTCAATCTGTATCATCTTATTGAAAAATCCTAATTTTTAAATTATCTTTTAATAAATTGTTATTATATTGAATTAAATAAAAATATAATCGCCTATAAGTGTGATAACAAATATATGTGATAACAAATATGTAATAAAAAATGATGTAATAACAAATAGCTTTTAATAAATTTAAACAATCGATGAATATTTACAATAATCAGCAATGAAATATAATTAAGTTTGGATTAATTTAAATTTTGAATATGTAAAAAACATCTAAAAAAGTTTGTTTTATTTTTATTTACTTATTTTTTTTTTTTTTATATATATATATCTTAGATGCGAAATATTTAAGCATATGATAAATCAACATTGAATTTTATTTAATGTATTAAATAAAAGATTAAAAGATTAAAATATATGATAAATTATTAAATCAAATAAAATTTATATTATATTGTATTGTATATTTAAATTATTATGTTATATTTATGTATTATTTGTATATTAGATTTGCATTATATCTGAATTTGAGTTAATAATTAATAATTTGAAAAAGTTTTTTTAAAATTTATAAGAATGTAGATTTTTTATATTATATTTTTAAAATCATTGATATATGCATACATGATATGCATAAAAATTCAACCAATTACTTTTTTATAATATATATCAATATCAGTGGTTATTTCATTTTTCAAATATGATATTTCATTTTTTTCAAGATCATTGATATCTAATCGTTACATAATATTATTCCTTTTTTGGATTGTTATATATCATAATAAAAAAAGTTAAAAAAAAATCTCGTTTAAATTCACGAATATATCAATAATATATCAATATATTCACTAAAAATATTTTTACGAAAATTAAAATCATGGATAATGTATAAAAAAATATATTATAATATTATAATATTATAAAAATATATTATAAAAAAAAGTGAAAATAATGTCTTTAACAATATATTTCAAACTCATTAGAATCAATGAGAAAATAATAGATTTATTATAATAATATTTATAATTATATTATAATATTAATTATATTATATTATAATAATAATTTATTATTAATAGATTTATTATAAATTATAATAAACATACTTGATATGATTTTATATTTCCTAATTCCTTTACGTTGAAATGATGACAAAAAACATCAGAAAGCTTAATATGTTTTTCATCAGAAAGTAAAAGTTTTTTATTTAAAAGTGATTTAATTTCCATAGCAGTCCATACATAAAAAGCACCTTCTTTCTTTGCAGATGCATCATATGTAGGATAAGAATCTGCATCTTCAGCACTATAAAATCCACCTTCCTAAAAAACATAAAATTAATAAGTAAATATAAATATATTTTAAAATAAAATAAAGATACCTTGTGTCGAAGATCTCTTATTACATACGTAGCAATATCATTCACAATTTCAGCAAAATAATTATTTTTAGTAGCAAGATATGCATCTGCATATGATTTCATTAATTGAGCTTGATCATATAACATCTTTTCAAAATGAGGAACATGCCATTCACCATCAGTAGCATATCTTGAAAATCCCTGATTAAAAATAATAAGCATTATTATAAATTAACTATCAATATAAAATATTTAAATAGTTTTAAACCCATAATTATAATAATCTAATCTAATAGTTAAAAAATAAAAAGTATAAGCATGAATATGTTTAAAAACTTGCAATCTTGTAAATATATATTTTAAAAAACAACATATTAATAAAAAATCTAATTTTTTTTCTTATTTTTTAATATGATTTTAATAAAATAATATATTTTAATAAAAATAAAATACATTTTTAATAAAATCTAATAGATATAGAATATTTATATCCTCACTTAAGTATTTATTTTTACAGCTTCTTTTAAACTTATTTGAATTCAAGTATTTACAGTTTATAATTGTTCAATTATGATGTTATTCATACAATTACAAAATTATTATTTTTGTATTTTGCTAATAATTATCCAAATATTATTTTTTTATTATAATATCATAATTTTATATTAAGAGATAAACTTTACTGAATTAATATTAAATAATTTATAGATTATATATTTAAATTTATATATAAAAATATTTTAAATTAATATATACTTTAAATTAATAAATTTAATTAATTAAATCAAAATATTTAAGATTTCACTAATATAAAAAAAGATATATGTATTTAACAATTAATTTCTAAAATTAAAATTAAATAAAATTTAATTTAAACTTTTAATTCATTTTTTGAGAGAATTAAAATTCTTACCTGGCCTACATGATCATGAATTCCTCCATAAGACATTTTTTTTAAAGTATATACACACATATGTAAACAAAGTCGCGCAAGATCTCCATTGGGTTGACGTGCATACATATGAAATAAAAAGTTAAAATTTACTGGCTGTGGAAATTTTGGTGATTGCATATTATATGTAGAACCAAATCCACCAAATTTAGGTTCAAATTCATTTTCAAGTTGTTGAATACAAATTTCACTAGATTCTAAGGAAGCTATATCATGTACCTATATAAAGAAATGATTGTTTATTAATAACATTTAAATATAACTCTATTATTAAAATCTTTACATAAAAATATATAAAAATTTATTATTCATTAATTTACCTTAGATGTATGTGGAATTTTAGAAATATTTTGTAAAATTTCAAGATTTGTAGAACCAGCTTCATTAATTTTAGTTTTGGATTGATTCCACTACAAAAAATAAATAAAAAAATTAATTTTATCATAATATAATAATATAGAGATTTAAACAAATTAAAATTTATTTAAATGAATGAATTAATAAATATATTAGTTGTTTTTAAAAAATATTTATACCTTTTGTGCAATATTTAGTAAAATTGTCTTAAATCCTGTTTGTCTAGATGTATCTTCTGGAGGAAAATAAGTTCCACCAAATATAGGTTTTAAATCAGGAGTAAGAAAGACACTCATTGGCCATCCACCATGACCAGTTGTTGCCTATTAAATAATAGTTTAATTGTATTTGTCATATTATTTAGAATATAATGTAACTACAATTACTTGCTTGTACAAAAGTCATATATATCCTATCGACATCTGGTCTCTCTTCTTTATCTACTTTTATATTAATGAAATTTTTATTCATTATTATAGCAATTTCTTTATTTTTAAAAGATTCTTTTTCCATAACATGACACCAATGACATGTAGAATAACCAACAGATAAAAAAATACATTTGTCCTCTTTTTTTGCTTTTTCTAAAGCTTCATCACACCATGGATACCAATCAACTGGATTAGTAGCATGTTGCAATAAATATGGTGACTTTTCTAAATTTAAATGATTATTTTTTGCTATTTGTATGTTTTCAAGATTACTTGTGGTTGCCATATTTGCAAATGAAAAAATTAAAGATCTTTGTTGTATCCTATAAAATTATTTGCTTATTAATATATTTGATTTTTCATTCTTATAAAACTATTATAAAAATAAAAAAATTATTTAATTTTTATTAATAATAATTAAATAAAAATTAAACAAATCACCTATAAAAAAAATCATTTATTTTCGTTAATCCTTAGATAAAATAACAAATTAAAATTTTATAATCTATTTATTCTACTTATTCAACTTATTTTATTTATTCTATTTATTTAAAAAACATGTAATCTAACTTTAAAATGTTTGAAATATTTATTCATAGATAGAAAAAAAAAATTCTTATATGATTGATTGTAAAATATAATTGTAAAATATACATGTTTATTAATTTTATTATGTAAGAAATATAAAATATTATTTAAGAAATATATTATCTATTATATTATATTATATATAATTATAATTTATTAACTATTTATTAACTACTATCATTATTTAAATTTTTCATTAATATCTAATCAAAAGAAAATTGACAATTTTGAAATAATAATTGTTACTTAATTTATTACTTATTTTTAAGAAAGTTTTACATAAAAAAAACAAAGTAAAAAGAATTAAAATTAATATCTCATTTTTAATTTATAAATATGAATATAAAAAATAATATTCATAATATATAAATAAATATTAATCTAAATCTATATTTTTCTTAAGTGAAAAATTATTACATAAATTCATAATTGAATATTATACCTGTTTGAATGATGGTTACTTAATGATATAAAAGTAGTTTGAAATAAGTATGATTTTGTTTTATTATTTTGAATCCACCACTTCTTAATTAATGAAGATTTATAGTCAACTATTGACAGAAAACGATATCTTCCCAAAGTCATAACACTTCTGATTTAAAATATATAACTGCCAAAAGTAAGAGAAAATAAATAACATAAAAATAAAATTAAATAAAATATTTAATTTTTATAAAACATGATTTACAATATTAACATTTTTTTAATGCAATAATCTTAAAATAAATAAGTTATATTTTAAGATAATATAATTTGATGTTATATTTAATTAAATTTTTATTAAAGATTTATTTATTTTTATAAATAAATTTCATATATAAAAATTTTTAATCTATAAAAAATTAAATAATTGATATTATTTTGTAATTTTAAAATCATTATAATAATAAATAATTTATTATTTATATACTTATTAATCAATTAATTTTTATAATTAAATTAGATTAACAAAAATTTTATCATTTAAATTACTTGAACACTTATTTAATTATTTATATTTTTTATATATTTGTATAAATTGCAAGTTTAAATTCTATTGCTTTAACTTTTCAGATAACTTTTCGCCAAATTTTAGGTTAATTTTTGACGACATTGAGTTTATTTGACATTTATTTGACTAAGAGTTGTTTTATTTTAATTTATTATATTCTTTAAATGAGAGGTACTAATAGAATAGATTTGTAATTTATGATCATTACATAAATCAATTTATAATTCTAATATTGATATTAGATATTGATAAAAGTGATAAAATAAATAAAATGTATATATTACTGAAAATGATGAATTCTTTTCATTAAATAATAATTAGAATTATTTGATATACGAAATAATTCGTAAAAATTAATTTTATATATATAAAGATAGTTTTATATACTTTGATTTTATTTCTAATTGTAATTGTTATTTTCGAATTTTATTCATCAAAATATAAAAATAAATCAAAAATTTTGTATCTTCATAAACAAAATTTAAGTAAAATTTTATTTATATTATTATTAAATGATTCAATATTAATTTTAATTAATCTGTTAAAAATTGCTTTATTTTAGTAAATTATTTACAATTATTATACATATAACTTTATTTAACATACATTAATTTGTATTTTCGCTCTAAAGTACATAATCATATTCACAAATACAAAAAATGGTAAATTTCTGTAGAATATATATTAGAATAATATATAATATATAAAATATATTTATTTAGCACAAATAATTTTTTTAAATTATTTAATTTAAATAAATACAAAGCAATATAAGAAATAACAAAATATAAAATATTAAATAAAATAAATATATAATTATTAAAAAAATTTGTTATTAAAAAAAAATACATATATAATTAAGTAAATACTTGTAAAAAATAAATTTCATGTATAATTTCTATAATAATAATATACTAATGAATCATTTTCCAGTACATTTTAAACTTTTAAAGAAATAAATAAAAATAGTTTCTGTATCTATATTCACTTATATATTTTTATTTCACAAAATGATGAAATAAATAAATATAGTAAAAAGTTTCTTTATAAATAAATATTTATTAATTAAATATTTATTCATATTTCAAATTTAAATAATGTGATTAAAATTTAAAATAATAATGTAATTACAATAAATTGAAAAATTATAAATATATATATATATAATTAATTTTAAAATTAAAATGAAAAATTTAATCGTAAAATTAATTATATCTAAACATAACATAGTTATTCATAATATTTGCAATAAAATTAATAAAAATAACGTAATTCATTTTTAAAAGATTTATGCAAAACTGAAACAAAAAATATATAATATAATTAAACTTTTATTTATGAAAATTTTTGAATTTTTTTGTATTTCTTTAAAGATTTTATTCAAAAATATCTGTTAATAAATATTTGTTTCAAAAATGAAGTTTCATTTTTAAAGTATTTTATAGGTTATATGATGCCATCGATTTTTTACATAATAGGATTGCACAGTACTAGTAGCAATTAATATATGCCAAATTCAAATTATATTACGAAGAATTATAATTAAGAATATAATTGATTTATAGAAATCATTAATTTCAAACTTTCGTAGTATTTTGTAATAAATATTCCATAGTTTTTTCTATTTTTATGAAATATTTGTTTATAGCAATATGTATAATAAATTATATAAACAAAAATATAATGAAGTAAATAATGTATTTTAATGTAATGGCATGAATAATATAATACAAGTTTTTTTCTATTATAATATATATTTACAAAATTTATATTAAGGATTTCAAAAATNTTTTTTATAAAAACGTTAATTATATTCCGTTTTTATATTCACTATTAAATTAAAATAGAAATTCCAGTTTCAATACTATTTAAAAATTTCACATAAAAAATGTTACTATATATGACAATTATGAAACCTGTATTACTCATATGCATTTATAGTTAGTAATTCGATTCGCTGAATGAATAATAGACCATAGTAGTAATAAAATATAATGTTGTTAAAAAATAAAATGTTGCCAACTGTAAAACCATGTACTTGTACTTATTGAAGTAAATTGAAATTATCATGTATATGATATGAAATAAAAATATTTTTAATGAATATATTATATATTATGCGTACATATTATTGATTTATTAATTATTTTAAATTACTTTATATTAACATTTAAATGTATTTAATGAAATTATATTTAATATATGTAACATTACTAATCTAATCAATCAAATGTAATACAATATTTCAAACATGGCTGCCATACATCGAGAGGCTATCCAAAAGCAAATTCAACAAGATTGGGCAAATCGAGAATATATCGAAGTTATAACTGGTAGCATCAAAAAAATAACTGATTTCCTTAATTCTTTTGGTAATTATATATTAAATTATTAAATAAAATATTCGAATATACACTTTACTATTTTTATAATGGAATATTTTATAAAAGTAAACATAATATGTTCAACATTTTATTTAAAATTATATATTATTGATTAATATATTTATTAAAAAAATTTATTTAATATTAGAATTAAATTTCGAAATTTAATTTATTTTATATTTATTTATTTTACATATTATATATTTTACATATTTTATATTTTTATGTGATAATTATACATTATTAGAAAATGCGTTGATCTTGATGTATGTTATCAAGGATATTATTCTTAATAATTTTTTTTATATATATCATTTTTTATATATATATATTTTTTTATAAGTTAATTGGCGGTTTATTATAGTTTTCAAGATATTTATAAAAAAAAAATTATTATTACATATAACAGTCTATATATATATTTGTGATAATATATCCATTAACATATAATATTTATTAACTATTTATATAACCTATTTAGAATATAAATACATCAAGGTAACTAGTATCCAAAATTTATAACAAACAATATTATTGCACTTAATATCCATGAAAAGAAAAGAATATATGAAAATAAAATATGAAATTACATTTAATTACAATTATATTTAATGTTTCTTGTTGTAATTTCACTGTAATTTTGGTCATGCAAGAATTTTTTGTTTTATATTTTATTTTTTTGAAATGTTCAAATTCATTATGAGTTAGAATTGAAATATTTGAAATTCATTAAAATAAAAAAAATAGCTTCTTGATATGAATATATGATATAATATATATGATATGAATATAATTTGAATATTATTTATTATGATATATTGGTATAAATAATAACATTAAATCACATATATTGCATTATAAACATACATATATCTTATTGAATGTATACATCTATACAAAATTCAAAAAAAGAAGTTATTCAGGATAATCTTAACAAAATCAAAATAATTGGAGCTATTCTTTTAATTTATAATTAATTTTTATATATAAAATAATTGTAACAAACTATATTTTTTGTCAAAGTTAGAAAAAAATATTAAAAAAAAAGGATGAATAGTTTGATGCAGACTCATGATAATATTTTTTCTGCAAATATAAAAATACATATATTATTTGTAGCTGCATAATTTTTTTTAAAATGAAATGAAAATTTTTTTAAAATGAAATGAAATGAAAAAAAATAAAAATTTTCCTTCTTTTTGCTATATTTCATATTCTTTTAATATTCTACATAAAAAAATATTAAAATATAATTAAAAAATTACAGTCTGCAAAATTTAGTTGAAAAAATAACTTTTTAATGAAAGAAATGTTCAAATATTTTCCTATAACATCATATAAACATTTCTTATTTCTTTTTCTTTCTCGTTGTTTATTTTTTATTTTATTTATTATTTATATTTTAATTAAATTTAAAATTTTTTATACATGATTATAAATACGATTTTTTACAATCAAAATAAACATAATAATATAAAAAAAACAAACATTACAAATGAAACAAAAAAATAAAAGAAATATAATATGAATATAATATGAAAAATATAATATTTTACAAGTAATCCTAAAGAAAAAAATCTAGCTTATGAAATAGTTAAAAAATATTTTTGCACAAAATATAAAAAAACTAAGATTAAAATCAAAACAATAAAAAGATCAATTTAATTATGAATTCGTTATGAAAACAATTAAAAAATGCTTTATGCTCAGTGTTTAGAATATAATGTAAATATATTTAAGTATCTTCAATAAAATCATTTTTTTAAAATCTTGCAAATTAATAATTTTTCAACCTTAATATTTTTTTTACGTAGAATAAAACAAAAGGATTTGAAATAGAAAAAAAAAATAGTTCTTCATTTAAAAAGTATTGGATATGTAACTTGCATTAAACTATTCATTTTTATCATTTACATTTACATTTTATTTACATTTTTTTTATTTTAAGAAAAAAAGATGTCTTGTTATAGTTATGTAAATTATATGTATACTATATACATGTATATATAAAATATATATATATATATAAAATATTCATAATAATGCCTAATAATAATTAATTGTCACTTTTTATTTGTTTAACCATAGCACAGTTATCAATTTATCAATTCCTGAAACTAAAACTTAATTTTTTGTTATGTTAAATATGTTATTATAAAACATTTTTTTAATTCGTACATAAGAAATGTTTTTCTCCTTTTTTTCTTTGTCAATAAAGTTAATAAAATCAAGACTCTTTGTCAAAAGTCAATAAAGAGAATGAAATAAAAAATGAACAATTTTCAGAATATATATCTCCTTGAATAATTGATGCGTTTCAGTCTTAATCGTGATAATTAATTAGGCATTGCTGTATATAATTTTAATAAATAATTTGTAATAATGTAATTTTTTTTTAATCTTTTCTAAGTATAAATTTTTTAAAATTGAACCATTGAATTGCATAAATTTTCTAAGAAAATAGATATTCAAAAAGATTGAAGAAATTCATATCAAAAAGATGTTTTGTATTTTACATTGTATTAGTGATTAATTATCATAATTAATATAATTAATTATATAAGTAATTAATTATCATAATTAATGATAATTAGATTTATAGTCTAAGATTTTATTTTTATAATACATGTAATTTATATACAAATAAATAAAAAATATAAAAGATTTTTTAATCTTGTTTCTAATATATAATATATAAATATTAAACAACTAAATATAATATACTTTATATATTAAATTATATATAATATTTTATATTATAAAATTATTCATTTATATATTAAATATCATATAATTTCATGTGCAAATATTATATATATATATATATATATATAATGAACTTAATGTTTTGAAAATTATATATTTATATATAATATATATATATATTTATATTTTATATATATCTTATATTATATATATATATATGTTATATATGTATATATGTTATAAATAAATATATAATAAATATTCTTATTTTTACAACAATATTTTGGATTGAATACTTTACAATATTTAAATACTATAAAAATGATATAATTTGTTTTTAATTCTATAAAAATAATATAATAATAATATCATACTAAAATTCTAAATTAAAAAATATATTTGAAAAATCATTTACAATACTAATAATAAGAAATACAAGCAAAAACGTTATTAAGAATTTATAAATGATAAATTTTAAATTATTTTATTATTAATTTTATAAATAAATAATCATCTTACATTGATATACCATATCATAAATAATAAATATATAATATTATAATAATATTATTATAATAATATTAATATTTATGCATTCTATTAATGATGTAAAATATAATTATTCTATAAAAATATTATATAATTAATTGATAAAAATAATTGAACTATCAAAGATATAATCTATTTCATAAATCTAAATAAAATTATCAACTTAAAACTATTAATTTTATTAAACAATTATTTATTTTATATAGAATTTAAATAAATTCGAATTTATCTATATATAATAGTTCTTTTTTTTATTCTTATCCATATATTTCATGAATACTGATTTGCATAATATTGTTGCATAAAAATTGTTTTATTTATTTTATAAATAATTGTTTAATTTTATTTTTTTATTATTTTATAAATTTTAAATTATTAAATTAATAAAAAATAATGAAATCATTTATATATGAAAATAACTATTTTAATAAAGATTACTAGTTAATTTTGTTTTATTAGATATGTCTTGCCGGTCAAGAATAGCTGTTCTTAATGAAAAGCTTACAACACTGGAAAGAAGAATTGAGTATCTAGAAGCATGTGTAAGTTATTGTTTATAATTTAAAAATATACAAAATTAATTTAATTAATTTATACATATATTAAACATACAGCAATATCAAAAGTTTCAAAAATATTTAATTTCCTATCAAATGGATTAAGAATAAGAATCTTATTTATAATAAAATTTTGTTTTTCTTTTTATTTTAATTTATTATTATATCACAGACTAGAATATTGTTATAGTTATACTATACTAATCTGGATATTACTATATCAAATATGTATCTATATGTATATCTACATATTTATAAATATATATGACATAATAAATAAAATTTTATTACTTTTATTGATTTAAATGATTTTAAGAATAAAATTTTATATAAATTTTTAAAATTCAATAATTAAAAAGAATTAATGAAAATTACTAATTTTTATTCATTTTGATATATTTAAATTTTATATATGATTTTATATAAAATATAATTAAAATATAAATTATATAAAATTATTAATTATATACTTATAATTATACTATTAAATATATTTATAAATGTACTTATAATTATTTTTCTATGTTGTTTTTGTAAAATTTAATTAATTTTTTAAAATTATTTTGTAATATAATTTTTAAGCAAATCATATATAATAATTATGTTATACTCAATAATACATAAAAATAATATACTTTGTAATATTATTTAATTGAAATCAATAGTTTATATAATAATTTTAAGTTAACAATAAGATTTTTTTATTCAGATACTTTATATAAATTTATTTATTTAAGAAATTTTTTCTTATTTTGATATGTTTAAATTTGAAATCATAAAATAATCTGTATAATTGTAATATATTTTGTATAATTTTTGTATATATTTGTATATATTTGTATAATTATTGTCTTTCAGGTTACAAAAGGAGAAACATTAACCTAAATAAATTATTAATGAAATTTGTAATATTTTATGATTTTTATATTTATTGAAATTATATATGAATAAATGTACAATAATGATAACAATATGTATTACATTCTAATTATAAAGTCTATTATATGTATTGGTGATTAAATGGAAGGAACACTAAAAAAGCTATTTGGTATATGCTTAACATAAGGTTCTGATGGTGGCTTATTTTTTGACCATTCATACCAATTATAACCTATTCCATCTTGCGAATAAGCCATACGATATTCTAAAGCTTCTGGAGTTTCTTCATCATTGGTTTGACATTTACATATAACTGAACCAGCAATTACAAATGCTATTACTGGAAAAGTATAAGCTAGAGGCATAAATTTCCGAACTAATGGAATAGTACTCAATACTGTAACAAATATTAAAATTTTAAGATATTATTTATTATTAATGAAATTATTTTCATTAATGAAACATTATTAAATTATTATTTTAATTAATATTATTAATATTATTAAATTATTATTATTATAAATTATTAATGAAATAGTTATTACATAACTATTATTATTTTAAATTTGATTTAAAAATTGAGAAAGCCAATGAAAAACAGAAACACAATGTATTATTTTTGTTTTTATATCAATTTTTTTTATTTCACTTGTTCCATAATTCTTCTAATATAATTTAATATTTATAATTATATATATAAAAATAAATATGATTTTATGTTGTATATTTTATATTATCTATATAGTTTCTTTATTCATATTATCTGAATAGTTTCTTTCAATTTGTTTTCCTCATATAAAAATATCAAACATATAAAAATATAAAAAATATCTATTTTCCCATTTTGAATTATAAATCATCTTAGATAATTTTATGAATTAAAAATATATTTTAAAAAATCTTACTTCCTACTACATTATTGACTGCATCATCTTTTTCTCTATAACGTTTTGATATTAAAGAACCAGTTAAATAGAAGAAACCTATACCACAGATTGGAAATGCAGTATGTATCATTCTTCCAAATGTAGCAGGGGTATCTAATGTACCACCCTTAATACCTTGAAGTGTTATTCCACCACATAAACCAATAAGAAGTGGATATTTAATTTGTTTCATATGTTGTAAAATTGAATTTTCTTTTTCATATTTACTATTCATAGTTTAAATCTGAAAAAAAATTTTCTTCTTAAAAATTAATATAATTGTCTTAAAAAAATTAATAAAATCTATTTTAATAATAATTGGCAAATTTTATACTTTTTAACTTCTTATAAATTATTATATAATAGATATAAAATACTTAAAAAACTTAAACTTATAATTAAATTAATATATTTAAAATATTTATTATATTATATTATTGAATCAAACATAATCGTTGAATTAATATAATAATTTTTGCTTGATATTTTTTCTTTCATACAATTAGATATGAAATCAAATAATCTTGGAAAAGCATTGATTTTTTCTATTTCTTCTTTTTATATAATTTTCTAATAAAACTTCAAATTTATATTTTTATATTGATAGATTGACAATCTTTAAATAAAAAAAATTTTATATTGACAATCTTTAAATAAAAAAAAAATGAAGAATCCTTTATATTCTTTCATATTACTAACAAAGTATCATTATTGAGCCTTTAAAAAAGAATATATATGTAATTATTAATAATTATTATTAATAAATATAATAAATATTATTAAAAAAAATATTTATAAATGAAAAAAATGATATTAAATGTTTCACAAATTAATATTATTTAAAATATTATATGATCTTTTTTACTTTGTGCAAAAAAAAAATAAAATTACCTAATTTTTTTATATAATTTTTTAAACTATATAGTATATTATCATAATACTTAATTAACAATATCATATGTCATATTTCTTAAAAATTTTTCCATATTTGTTCCTTAAATTCTACTTTTAATGTTATTTTATTGAATTAAAAATATATTATAATTATCTTTAAATGAAAAAGCATAAATAGAAATTTTAATAATAATAAATTAATTTATATATATGTTAATTAATATAAAAAATATTGTTAAAAAAATAATATGTTAACATTACCTATTGTATTATCCAGTACTGACAGATATGTACGATATATTTTATTTCTAAATTACATAACATAAGTGAATCTTAAAATAGATTAACAATTCATCATTAAATATTTAATTCGATTAAACTTTACTTTAGAACATTAAAACTTTCTTTGTATCTTTCAATATTTCCAATGAGTAAAAATATTAAATTTAGAAATCCACTGGTCCATCAAAAACTATTCATATATAAAGTTAGTACTTTTTAAAATTATTAAGGTGCCATATTGATTTGTATTCACAATTTGTCCAATAAGCGGAATCATTGCAATGGCAATGGTTATAATATTTCGCCATAAGCGAAAATTGGTTGCATAAATATATGTTTTTTTTTGTATAATGATTTATGTGTAAAATATATAATAATATAATAATACAATTGCAACAATTTAATTGGAAATATTGAAAAAAAATTTATAATAACTTATAATATAATATATATAAAATATATATACTTATAATATATATACTGAAATAATCAAATCTATTCTAATTAATCTAATAATTCGGAGATATTTATTTAAAAATATAAATTAATTTAATTGTTTACATAAATGATGATATCAGATTTATGCAACTATGGAAATTTGACTTATTGTTATATGACCATCATATATAAACAATTTATTTGAATTTCATGAATATTATCCCTAAATATATCCTATGTCATTAAAGAATTTTTATTCAAGTTATTGATTATTAATTATTGTCTATCAAGCACTAAAATGCAAAGAGAAAGAATTATAAATTTTTCAGAATAATCAACAATTCGTGTTGTTTTTACAATTAAAGTTATTAGACTATTAATAATTGTTTTCAATATTTATTAACTTTATCAAACACAGCAATTTAGTGTTTTACAGTTATTATCTTATATAAAATAAACAGGAAATTACATAAAATATATTTACGATTTTCGTTAAAAAGAATTTATAATTATTACTTTATAATACATTAAGGCTAATACGCAATAAATCAAAAAATTATCTTTAAATTAACTAATAAATTATTTTTTATTATATATTAAATATAATCAATTTAAAAATAATAATATTAGAAATACAATAATATTAGAAAGAAAATAACAATTATATTTAAAATTAAATAAAATTTAAAAACTATATTTATATAACATAAATATTACTAATAGTGAATTTAAGTAGTTCCAATTATAACAATCAATTGTTACATAAATAAAGAAAAAAAAACTTTTGTTTCTTTAGTGTAAAGCCAATATTAATATTATTATTCTTATTAAAATACTAATAATTAATATTAATATTATTAATATTATTATTAAAATAAAATGTTACGTTCAACTTCAAATAATGTTTTAAAACAGGTATTCGTAAAAATTATTCATAAATACAATAACATAAGATATAATATTATTAAAAAAAAGTTATAATGTTTTTTAGTTATTTATACTAATATATTATGTTTTAATTATTTACATTTTAATAAATTATTATTATTATTATTTCAAACATATTTATTAATTATTTAATATTTGTAATGTATTGTATTAATATTATACTATAAATATTGTATTCAACATTATTTAATATTATATTAATTATTTTAGAGACAAAATTTAATACAATATTTGAATATGCAAAAATCTACAAAAGGAAAAAATAATAAATCAATAATAAAACCAAATGTTTCAGGACTCAGTGAAAAATGTTGTAAAGTTCCAAGTACACGTAAGATATATTTACATATATTGTAATATATTTAAATTAATAATATTTATAGTTAATAATTAATAAATATTTAATAGTTTTTTTTTTAATTTTTATTATGTTATTATTTATGTTAAAAATATTATAAAAATAAATTAAACATTATTACATTTATATATTAGTTTTCTTAAATAATATCTTAAATAATATTTAAAAATTAATTAAAAATATATTATGAAATATATATGAACATTATAATTCTTGATAAAGAGATATTAGAGAGATTTATTTTTAAATTATAATTAAAAAAATAATACTTTGAAACTTAAACAACTATAAGTAAATATATTTCATAATTCAATTCAATGTTTGAGACAAGATGAAATTAATTTTTATTATTATTTAACAAATTATACATTATACAATATATAAAATATAAGAAAATTTTATAATATATTAAAAAAAAATTTAAATTAATAATTTTCTATATGTTTTATTCTATATTTTATTGAATAAATGAATTTTACTAAGATATTATTTAAAATAATAATAATTAATTTTTTAATGTAATATTATAGTGTAATATATATATCAATTTTATTTGCTATTATTTTATTATTTTATATTATTTTAGATATTTTAGATAGATTTTAAATTAAATAGCTATGATAAATTTTAAATTCTTTTAAATCTTTTAAAAATTCAATTAATTGAATATAAATTAACATCAATTTTCACAGATATTCTTTACATTTGACATTTTTGCATTTAATTTAATTTTAATATATTTTGCAATATTTCTTTTTTTTACTCAAATAAATAATTATAATATACTCGAGAACAAAATGAAATAAATAATAAAATAGTTATAAATAAAATTTAATCAAAATCATATTTTTATTAAATATTTAAATTTCATTTTTTATATATATAATTTTTAGTTATTATAAAAAATTATTTAGTTAATATTAAAATTAATATTTAAGGCCAATTTAAAGTTAATATATAATAAATTAGATTTGTAAAAAAAATCAGTTAATTATAAATAGATAAAAATAAGTAGACTGTAAATAATTTAAAATTTATGATTAGTATTATATTTTTTAATATAATTATTACTATCTCTATTATATTTTTATTATTTATTAGATTACTTCTTCATTAAATTTTTCATTTAATTTTTATTAAAATTTTCAGATACTAATTTTAAATTGCTAAAAAATTTCTTTATTTTTTATTTATATTATCTTATATTATATTATCTTATTTATATTTATTATTATCTTATTTATATTATCTTATATTTTATTTATATATCTTATATATCAGAGGATCTCTATTTCTACAGAAATCTTTATCTTCTATTTTAAGATTAGAATTTAATAAATTTCACAAATTTTAATTTAAATCTGAGCCACTTGCTATTTATGCATAATTCAATATTAATTACCAAACATTTCATATTTTTTTAATAACATGTGTTTTAAATTGTTGTGATTTTGAAAAATTAATTGTAATTCAAGACGTTTTTACTAAAATTCTTTAATTTATATTTATTACATTTATTTATTGATATTTCTAATTTGATTAACTAAATCTAATTATTTTTTTTTTTTAGAGAAAAAGATCTTTATAATTTTAATTACTATTTACTAAATTTAATCATCAATATATTAATAATTTCTTCAATATCTTTGTTTTTAATTAAATATTGTTGTTTCAATTAAATATTTTGCTTCTTTTTTATTAATTGCTGTAGTTCAAATTTAATTTCATCATTTTATATCTTTTATCAGAATAATAGCATTATAAATTTAAAAAAGCAAAATGAAGTATTAAAGAAATTGTTTATTATATTAATAGTTAGATTTAGTACATGATAATTAAAATTATGGAAATCTTTCTTCTGGAAAAAAATTGAACTTTTAAATTCAATTAATGAAATAATCAAAATGTTAATAAAAATAGATTAATACAAAGAATATAAATTTTTGAAGAAATTTTTTAATATAACAATGATTCAAAGTATATATTACAAAAAAATATGAAAAAAATTATAATATGAAATTTTTAGCGATTAAAATTTTTAATGATTAAATTACACAAATAAGTGATAAAAGACTTAAATTTAAGTTCTACTGAACATTTATGAAATTTATTGGATTTTAATTTCTCTAGAGACATTATAGAATAAAATAAGTGAAAAATAAAATGGATTTTTTTAAATGTTCAAAATAAATATCTGAAAATTTTAACATATTACATGAAAAACCTAATAAAGAATAAAAATGTATTAGTAAAGATAAAAATAATAAAAGATAGTAATATCAACATTAATTTAATTATTTGAAATATTATTTTTATTACTTATTTTTATTTATTAACTAACTTTTTCTATAAATCTAATTTAATTCTTATATATGATTAAATATTAATTTTAATTCTTATTAAATAATCTTATTAATTAACTTATTTATTAATCTTATATAATATAATTAATTAATTAATATATAATATATTAATTATTAATCTTATTATAATCTATATATTATTATAAAAATTAAATATTAAATATTAAATATTAAATATTATAAAAAAAATTTTAATGTATAACAATATATGATTTGTTTAAATGATGATTTGATTCATCATCAATTATTTTTATCATGTGTACTACTATTTTGTTATTATATGTTATATACTATATTATTTACTTTATTATATACTTTATTTATTATATATATTATATATATTATTTATATATATTTATATAATTATTATATATATAGTATATAATATATATATTATTACAAAAGAGAATTTTATATATATATATATATATATATATATATATATATATATATTGTATTTAATCATATATTGTATTTAAATTTTATTTTCCAGCTATTGGACCTAATGCTGCTAAAAATACAGAATATAAAAATCCAGAATATTTTTGTTATCATACAGAAACTTTTGGAGAAGCAGAAGTAGAATTAGCAAAATATAGATTACCAGCTCCTTCTAATAAAGTACCTTTTCATAAATAGTTTTTTAATTATATTCTATTGATAAAAAATCATGTATGTAGTAAGTAACAAAAAATAATTAATAAATAATATTTAAATAGAAAAATTATAAAATTTCAAATTTCATTTTTAATGAAACATGAAGGTATAAATTAATAAATATACAAACATTTTGTTTGAAAATTATAATATATGATACAAATAGTATTATAAAATAGTATTATATAGTATTATAAAATAAAATATTAAACCCATTAAATTTTATTTTAATTATAATTTAATCAATTAATTATGTATTTTACTTTTGTAAATGAACAACAAAGTTTATTATATTAAATAAAAATTTTTATTAATTCTACAGATTTTTAATTTCCTTAAATTATAGAACAACATTTTATTTTATTAATGATAAATATTATTGATATATAATAATGATATATAATAATGATATATAATTATTGAATATTTCTATTAAAATAAAGAAATATATTAATCATATAAATCTATAATATTCATAAATCGATATAAAATAAATTGAAGACATAAAATAACATCATATGAAATAAATTAATTCTAAATAAATTAGTATTTGAAATTTATTAAATATATATAAATAGAATTTACAAAGATATTTCATGACAATAGATAATTATCAATAAATAAAAATTTTAGATATATTATCTTTTTAAGAATATAAAAAATTCTTTAAATCAAAATAAAAAATTAAATTTATAGCACTGTTTTTTCAATTTAATAATTAAAAATCGGCAAAAATATTTTTGAACACTATCAATAAATATAAAATAAATTTTTTAAATATAGAAAATCAAATAATAAGGAATAAATTTTTAAATTTAATGAATTAACGATAGAATAGAATCATTGTTATTTCAGTTATTTATAAAGTTAATATATAATTATAAAGGGATATTTTACTTAATTTTTAATTGGTAATAAATGTTATTATGTCTTGAAAAATTATTTCTTAAATTTTTAAATATCTATGACAGAAGATAATTGAATACTATATATTAAATAAATATACAAATAATAAAATTTTATATAAAAATATTTTAAATAAAATATTTAAAAAATATATAAAATTAATATAAAAAAAACATATATATTCTAAAATTATTCGGTGTAATATTATTAAATTTGGAATAATGGGATATAAAATAAAACTATTACACTATATAATTATATAATATTTTATTATTGGCATTTTTTATGAAAATACATGTAATAAACTTAAAAATAAATACAAGTATAGAAAATATTACATTTATAGATAAGATCATATAGAAGAATAGATGAATACAAAAAAGAAAATATTCCTAACCTCTATACCAATATTCATATAAATATATATTTAGAAATATACTTTTAGAAGATCAATTTTAAAAATTAAACAAATGGATATATAAAAATATATACAACACCGGTTAAAATTTATTTATTAAGTTATACTAATTTGCATTAGATGAAGCAAAACGAACATGAAAAAAGAACTTTTCATCACATTAACATTTCGATTTATTTCCGTTTTCATTTTTTAACGTTAAACTTCAAATATATATTATAACTCAATTTTCAATTAACATTTTTATGTACTAAGCTTTAATTATAATTTTTGTATTGATTTGACCTCTAGAATCAATTTCAAAAATATCCTATGAATATGTATATCTTATATACTTACTCAAGATTTAAGATTAAAGAAGGATTATTAACAATATCAAAGTAATTTTTTGGTTATTATATATAATATATAATAATATTATATATAATATTATATATATAATAAAATATCATATGTAAGTATATATATATTGATCATCAAAATATATTTATATACATATATGGTTTTTTATTTTATTTTTGTATTAATTGTTACTTCATTTTGATCATATATTTTAAATAATATAATATATAATATATATAATATAATTATAATAAATTCTTTCAAATAAAATTTTCAAATACAAAAACTTGTTATATAAAGAATTTATGTATTAAAAAAATATATAAATTTTATTTATTTTCTTTTTGATATATATTTTTTTAAACTTACGCTTTTTTATTATGTATAAAAAATATTTTAATATATTAATAAGAAATTATATTTTATTAAATATATATCTATATATATATATATATATCTTTGTATATATATTTATCATGTATAATTAGAATATAAATATTATTTCAATTAAATGTTATTAATTTATTTGATTCATGTGTTTATTAAAAATTTGTAAAATTTTATTTTTATTTAATATATATATAAATTAAATAAGATTTAATACAATATCTAAAGAAAGAGTATACATTTGATACATTTAGTTTAAATAATCATAACTTTATGTATATAATACTTGTTTAAAAGACAATTATAAAAAAATGTAAAAAATTAATCCAGTTTATAAATAATAAAACTAATTTAGTTTTTCTAAATTTTCTAAATTTTTTTGAATTTTCTTTTTGAATTGATATATAATATGTAGCAAATTATTCGAATTAATAAAAATTTACATTACAATATATAGATAGTTATATATACATATTATTTTATTTAATAATACTTGTGATAATTGCTTTAACACTTCTTGCAATATTTAAAAATTGATTTACGTATAATAAAATATAAAATTTAGATAATTAAATTAAATACTTAAAAAATAATAAATTCTTTGCAATATTTATAGCAACTTTGATTATAATCAATATATTTATAGAATAAATTTTTCATTTATGTTAATACATTCATATATATACACATATGTTTCGAAATATTTCATTATTACAAATATTGAAAATATATTTTTCATACTCTAAAATAGAAGAAATATTACTTATTAAAAAGCATTTAATACAAATTAAAACAAATTATTTTTTTGTAATTTAAAATTCTATTTAAATTAATAGAATAATAAAAAAATTAATTTATTAATTTAAAAAAATGAATTTTTTAAATTCATTATTTGATGTATAAAAGAAATATATAGCATATTGTATATTGAATATTTGAATAAATATTTGAAGAATAAATATTTTACAAAATATTTTATATTTTTAATTTTATATTTTATATTTTATTCTACTATACATTTAAATATTTCATTATTATATGAAAAATATTTTTTGCTTTAATAATTAATTAATAAATTCCTTTTTTGCTTTATTAAAATATAATATGTATAATGTCTAATATTACATGATACATATATGTAAAATATTTATTATACTTAATTTTTATATATAAATATGAAAAATATAATTGTAGTTTAAAAATTAATACATAAAATATAATATAATATATATAATGTATTATTGAATATTTATATCATAAAAAATATTAGATTAGAAAATTGGAAAAAGTTATTATAATAAATATTTTTAAACTATATTATTATAATCATATAATTTAATATGAAAATAATAAAATATTAAAATATATATATATATATATATATATATATATTATAAAATGATAAAATATTATAAATAATTTTAATATGTAAATAGAAATACATACACATAATATGTATATATATGTATTTATTTTAATATACATACACATATGTAATGTTAATCCTTTTCTCGTAATAATTTTTAATTTTATTTAAAAAATTAATTTTTATAATTGATAAAAAAAATTAAAGAAAAACGATAAAAATAAAACTGGCATATCTGATAAAATTAGTACTTTTGAGTACATTTCCAAGTAAAAATATTTTTCCTCTATTGTTCGAAAACAAACAAATATATTTTGACATTTGGCAAATAAATTCAAAAGTATTACAAAAGATTAAATACATAAATTATTATTTTATAACAGATTGGTTATAATTAATATTGGTTATAAAGAAGTGAATTTCATATTACCCTTATATAGTACTCTTTAATTATATTTTCATATTAATAATCATATCGATGAAATCTTCCTCGCTTTTATTAGGATCACATCGTATCATTGTTTGTGTTCCACGATGCGTCACTGCTTTTAGAATTACTGTAATGGATTTACTTATTTCTGATCCAATATGTTCTTCATCATCCTAAGATTTTATATTTTATTACTTTATAATCTTAAGATTTATTTATTAAAATGAATAAGATTTTAATAAAAACAAGAACTATTTATACGATACTGTAGCATTTCTTTTTTAATATAATAAATATGAATATAATGTACTATATACCTCTATAAGACTGCTTTCTATTTCCTCTGATTCAATATTTTCTTCAAATGATGACATAATATTGTAAGTTACATATATGTTAATAAATAAATAGAATTATTTCATATGAAAATTAATTTATATACATAACAATTGAATGATGGAAAATACAATTCCATAGTTTGCTATGTTGAAAACCAAAAGTAAGAAATAAGCAAAATTAATTTAGGTAAAACTTTCAGTTTTATTAATATAATTTATTGTATTGAAAAATATTAAGAAATTAATATAAATTTACAATGATTTCTATTTGTAATGTTAATATTATTATTTTTTTAATATATCTTTTTTCATTTGAATTCAATTATTATTTATGAATAAATCAATATTTTACATAATAATATATTATATCTAAAGAAATTTTTAAAAATCTAATTGAAAATTTGAAAGATTTTATATAGATTAATAAAATTATTTTTATTAGTATATTTTTTATTTATGAATGTTTTATCATTATATATAAAATATTTCTTTTCAAATTAAAAACATAAAAATAATTGTTAATTTAATAATTGATAAACTTATTAATAAATTAAACTCTCATTTTCTTGAAATGTATTCATAATTTTAAGTAATTTTTTTAATATTGAAATATGTAATTTTTAAAACTACAATTGGAATATATTGTTTTTTGGTCACAAAAATATATATATTTTTTTTCATAAGACAAATGAATGATCACTTTTTATAATAAATAAATAATGTGAAAGAATATATATTACAATAAAAGACAGTTGCATATTGAATGGAATATGTATGACGAAAGTTTAGATTTATCGATATCAAACTTCTTATAAGAGATGAAAATTTCAATTATATCTATGCAGAACTATACGATATTTTGGCAAAATATAAAATAAGTAACTATATATATATATATATTCAAACAATGCACTTCATAAATCCAATTAATTGCATTATTTCATTTTATTAATTCTCGATAGTTATAAGTATCGGATCTGATATAATCATTTTCAAACTCGAAAAAATCTTCGATTGAAATATACATATAATTTTTTGTAGATGTAATCTTTTTTTTAGTTGAAAAAAGAAAAATATGTATATATTTTTTTATAATAACTTATTTATTACAAAATCATTACATTATTTATTACATAATCAATAAAATTTATGAATCGATTATTTTCATCGCAGAAAATTTCATTATTTTTTTTCGATATTATTTGTAATATTATGATAATGAAATTTATTCACAAAAATAAAAACATATATAAATAATATTGAAATTTTTAAAATATTATCATTAAAATTTACTAGATTCAAAAAAAATTATATAAAAATATTTCTAAAATATTAAATTTATTATTTTAATATAATTAAATATTAATTAAATTAAATAAATAAAATTAAATTAAATATTAAAATATAAAATCAAAGAAATTTCTAAAATATATGATATGTATGTAGATGTTATGTATTTTTATAATGAATTATAATATTTTATACTGAATTTTTACTATTTTTAAAAAAAAATAGAAAAAAAAATGGAATATTATTGTAAAAATATTGTTAAGTTATTAGAAAAAAATATTTTTAATATTTTAAAATATAAAATTATTTTAAAAATTGTATTTTTATATCGAACTCATCTAAGATCTCTATTTTAAAATGTAAAATAAAAAACATATAAAATAAAAAATTATTTAAAAAATACTATAATAAAATATTAAAAAAAAAATTAAATAATATGACATTATATTAAATAATATGTACATATATTAATAATAGTTTTATTTATTTTTTGTTGTATTATGCAATATTACAATTGTATTAATATTATATGGGAATGTATAAGAAAAATTGATCCAATGAAAAAATATATTTAAAAAAAATGATCTAGTGAAACAAATTTATATGCCTCATTTATTTATGAAAAAAGTGTACTTTAATAAATTTGATCTTTTTAATGCATTTATCTTCTATACTTCTGTAATATTTTAACAATTCTAATTATTAATTTTAATATTTAATTTCTTAATTAGCTTAAAAATATTATATAATATAGATATAATTCAAAAGTATAAATTAAATTATTATTATAATAAATAAAAATTATAATTATATAAGTAGTTATATAAATATTTATGTTCAATAATAATGAGAATGTAAATAATAAAAAAATAATGTTAATCCCATATTAAAAAAGATATTTTGTATTTTATATTTTATATAAGCTATTCTATATGACATCTCCATACAAAGTTTTATTTCTCTTTATTAAAAACATTATAAATTTAATATTTTATACATATTTAAAATCTTAATAAAAATACACATTAAAGATTTTTTATTTTCTTTTTATATCCCCAAGGTTGTTTCTTTTTCAAATTTTTTTGAATTTTTGAGCGTACAATTTGTTTTAATTCTTGTCTAAGTTCTTTAAATGTATCTTCTGACACATGTTCTTTTGAAAAAAAATTTTCTGCCTCTAAAATTTATTAAATATGTTATATTATATATTCATAAATAAATATTATATATATTATATATATAATATATATCTTAATATAAAATACAAACCATTAAAACGAATATCATTAATATCAAAGAAAAATTTATTTATATCTTTAATTTCATGGTGTATATATTGTTCATTATTTATATATTCTTGTTTATTATTGTCTTCATTATCAGAAGAATCATATTTAAATAGTTTCTTTGAATTCAAATCAAAATGAATCTTTTGAAGTTTTAATGACATATTTGACACATTACTATTATCATTATCATTATCATTATCATTATTATCTTCTGTAATGATAAAAAAAATAATTAAAAATAATAAATATATAAATTAAATATTTAATATATTAATATATTATACAAAAATTAACTTTTTTCCTTATCTATTTTTTTTCTATATATATTTAATAAACTAAATTGTTCTTCTTCTTTGAAACTTTTTGATAATGAATCTGATATTGAAAAATATATATCTTTAGACACCTCTACAGATGGATTTTCATTCAAGGCTTTACTATTAATTTTATTTTTTTTTTTATTTCTCTTGGTTTCTGATTCAGATTTCTCTGTATTAATTTCATATTCTTTATGATCATTTTCTGTAGGATCATATCTAATCATTCCTTTTCTAAAACATTATATAACATATGTACAAAAATATTTAAATATATTTTTATAAATAATAATTATTATTAATAATATTGAAATATTAGTATAGAAAAAATTATTTATCAATATATAATTTAATTTATTTATTCATTTACTTTAAAAGTTTTACATCCTTATTTATATTTTCATTTTTTAAAATAATTGGCACTCCCAAAATATTTTCTAATATATCTAATTGTAATTGCTTTTCTTTTAATAAATCAATTTCATCATTATTTGTAGTAATATTTTTATTTAATTTTTGATTATCTTCTATAAAATATTTATCAAGTTTAAATCGTTCATCATTTCCCAAAATAATATTACGCTATAAGAATTAAAATTATTAATTATTTAAGATTGATTATGAATATTATAAAAAGCTTACTTTTTTTCTAATTTCAAATTTATTAATATCAATATCATTATTTTCATCATCATTATCATCATTATCAAATAAATAATATTTCCTTTTTTTTTCTTTTTGATTGATTTTAGGTTGCTCAATTTTATCAATATCATCGTCAAATATTATTTTTCCTTGATATGATTTATTATCCTATAAAAATAAATACTAAATAAAAAATATTCAACATCTCAAAAACTTAAAATTTTAAATATATTTACCAAATTCTTCAATGCATTTTGTACTATCAATTCTTTGGCTTTAAAAATTTGTTTTTTATGTTTCAACGATTCTAATCGTTTTTTTTCAGAAATACTAATTCCATTCATTTTTATTTTCTCATTATTATTGTAATGCGAAACAATTATCTTTTATTTCTATAAAAATTTTTAAGTTAGTATGTATGTAGTATATATAGTATGGTATATGTATATAGTATAGTATAGTATATATATAAAGTATAATATAATATATATATATATAATATAGTATACAATCACTTTGATATAAATATTTTTATAATTAATATATAATAATAATGATATTTATTGAACTTAAAGGAATCGTGAAACTTATGAAAAATATTAGAATTAACAAATTTTTTAAAATCTTATGAAATATATGTAGATAAAAGATTAAAGTTTATTTTCGAAATATTATAAAAAATTATTAAGTTTGACTCATTAAACGATTTGTAAATACAAATCAATATAACATTTTTATTATCAAACTTTAAAAAACTAATTTTATATATGAATAAAAATAATTTTTGAATTAGTGAATATTCAAAATTAACATTTTTTGATATTTATTGAAATCTGTTAAAAGACATAAAAAAAATTTAATAATTTTTGAATACCTAACCTAATCTAACTTATGTAAGTATTAATAATATATTATATTAGTATATCATATCATATTTTTCATATCATTATATAAGTATTGTCATTATTATTTCAAATTTAATATTGAGAAATTTATTTCTATAGTAGCAATTCTTATTGACTATTTATAATAAAATTAGCATACAAATACTTATTAATAAAATGTTACATTTACAAATAAGATTGTATTTTAATTTTTTAAAGCATATATCTCGAAAAATATAGAAATTATGAAAAAATGTTTTAAATAAAAAAGAAAAAATTCTTTTTGCATTAGAAGTTAATGATTTTTTTTTTATATCTTCTTTATTACTTAATGAATCATTTTCAAAAATTATTTATTCTTAATTCTAGTAATTCAATAATTTAAAAGTTATGCATATTTAAAATTTAATTTTTTCAATGTGTTTGATAAATTAATTTGATGTTTTATTCATATTTACTTTGTATACATTTATAATTTATATATATAGCATAATTGTCAAAAATTTTCAATGCTGATATTTTAAATAAAAATTCACTCTGATTTTTTGTACAAGAGATATTTCAAAACATGAATAAGAAATCTCATTAGATTTATCTATAGTTCTCTGTTAATCAGTTCTTCATTATAGTTGTTTTGTTTATATTTAAACATTTATAATTTTTGATAATAAAATTAAATAATTTTTTAACATTAAAACTTGTTTTCTGAAATTTATCTATTGAATACTAGAAAAATATAAAAAAGTCAATAAATTTATTTTGTGTGCCAAAATGAATATTTTGTTAGAGTATTATGCAATATTAAAATAGATAAATTATATTATCAAAATTATTTGATCTTATGATATCCTTAAAGAGGCTTGTAAAAATTATTGTCAAATAGAAATCTATTTTTATATATGATTATAGCTGACATTGAAACATTTTGATTTTTTTATTTTATTGAAATTTAAAAATCTTTATATTCTTTTATATATCTTTCTATATTTTTCTATATAAAGTTATTTACTACAACTCTTTAATTATATGAAATAGAAAAAAATATTTCAAATAAATGTTATTAGATTTAAATAACAAAAAATTAATATCATTATTTTATTTAAAAAAAAGATAAAAGTTCTGATATTCAAGATTTATTAAAAATTTTTATCACTTGATTGACCATTTAATATAATTAACCATTTATATATGTAAATAACCATTTATATGTAATGTGAATTTTATGGAATATCTAAATGGAATTTTTATTGAATTTTAAAATTTCTCTTCACAGATATAAATAAATAATTATTAATAATGTTATTTAAATACATACTAAATGCTATTTCCTTACTTATATACTATGCATATAAATTTATAAGATAGTTTTATCTATAAATTGTAAATAATAATTATATATAGTAAGATATAATAACAAAAATTATATACTATATGATATATTATATATTTTTTCTACTATATGTATTTTAAAATTATTTTAAAATATTTATTTATTATTATTATTATTATTATTATTATTATTTATTATATTTTTTAAACTGTATGCAATAGATTTTTTTTGTCTTTTAATAATTTAAAATTTTTAATAATACAATATACAATGAAATGAAATGAGACGAATAATATAAAAATTACAATGTAATATTAAATTATTATTAACTATTATTACATTTTAATGATATATCATATTAATTAAAATATTATTGTTCCAGCATGTATTTTAACTTTAATTGTTTAATTTTTTTGAATAATGTTAAACTGTGATAACTAATAACATTTAAAGATTTTTTTTGTTTGATTGAAATTTTTTTTAATAAAATCTTATTATTCTAATATCTAATTAATTTTTTTCTTCAATATAATAACACATAAATACATATAAAAAATTTATCAATACATATATGTATTTAGAACAGTGGTCTCTATTTCTTATTTTTTGGAATGTTTCTCTTCGAATTTGTTAATACACTATTTTGTGAAATTAGCATAAAAGCAACATACTAGAACTTTTTTAAAATTTTTGATAAAAAGTATAGTTTCATAAATTTAGTGATTTTGATTCCCAAAATTTTTTTAATTGAATTTTTTCGAAAAAAAATTACTAATGTAAAAAATGTATCTTTCAACTTTAATTTTATATTTTAATAATGTTTCAAAAAAATATATTGAATCAAGATTCGGTTGTCAGTTTTCAAAAGACACACTGTATATTAAAAATTTTAAAAAAATTTTATTTATTTATATAAAGATAAGATCATTTTAATTTTTATAAATGATATCATATATTTTTATATATATATTTTTAATTTTATCGAATTATAAAAACATATCTAATAATTATATATATGTATATTATATAACCTTAAAAATTTTTATATTAATTGAAATGTTTATTTAATAAATATAATTATAAAACAAATCCAATAATAAAAATAATTTTTCATGTGCTATAATATAATAAAAAATCATAAAGATTTAAAATTAAAATTTTAAAAAATTTTAGTTGGTGTTTTTATTTAAATTTAAATTTAAATTTTGTTTAATAAAAATTTATAAAATTGAATATTTATTGTTCAAAACATTTTTTTGATAAATTATTAGAAGTAATCTAAAAATAATGATTAATATTTAATTATATTTAGTGCTACATACATTAAAAATTGCACATATAAATATTCTATAAATCATTAATAGACTTATTAATTTATTGAAATGGATCTAATAATTTATCACATAGATTTTTAATGTATTATAAAGATTCATCAATTATGTAGATATAGATATTATAAACATATATGTATTTTTACAAATTATAATGTTGAAAATATGAAATATAATTATATCTATAACTGTTATATTTATAATATAATTATAATTGTAAAAATTAATAAAAAATTAAAAAATTAATTTCATTATATTTATTTTTAACAAAAAATTTGCATTTATAAATATTTTAATTTCAATTTAAAATTATTGAATCATAATAAATTTTTAAATTTTCAAATTTAATTTTAAAAATGTTTTATATATATGTTATATATATTTTTTGATAATTTACAATTAATTTATATATATATATAATAATTTAATTTTTAATGAACAAAATAATTATTAGAATATAGTATAGTAAACAATACATTGCATTTTCAATCATTGAATATTCATTTTATTATGTTATATATATATATTATTTATAAATGTTTTCTGTATTTTTTCTTTTCAAAATTGCCATATTGTATATATATATATATATATATATAAGTGTATATATAAGTACTTTTTAAGTTTAATTATTAATACTGTTATATATAATAATAATATTTCAAATAAATCAACTTATACTGTTATATATTAATGTTTTCAATAGAGAATATTTCAATCTTAAAAGCAATATTATTACTTGATACTTCTTATTTCGCATTACTTATAATATTTGTCAAAAATATTAATTGAAAACGAGGAAATAATACTGCATAAATGATATATCAATTTTGTTTAGTTTCTTGTGAAGATGTTAACATTAATGCAATTTCTTCTGTGCCATCTGCAGAGTTTGTTATAAATTTTGGAAGTATTTCTGACTCTTTTTTATTATCATTGGTATACATAAATGTTCCATGTTCTATCATGTTTTCTAAAAGTTGTCCTTTCATTATTTCTGTGTTATTTAAAATATCTAAACAATAAAATATTACATTAGATATATTTTAAAATATTTAAAAAAATAATAATAATAACTAATTAAAAAATTAACAATTAAAATATACCATGAAAAATAGAAGATATTTTATCTTCATCATCAATAAAGTAAAAATATTTGTTATTTGCAAAAGCTTCAATACTATTAAATGTATGTAAAGAAATATTCATGAACCATAATTTTTTCTTTTCAGCATTAATATTTGCAGATAACAGTTCGATTTCCTATAATTAAAAAAAAATATATTATTAATATATTAATTAATATATTATTCTTTTAAATTTTACTTTATGTGTTTTTATATATATATTATTTTATGAATATTTTTGTATTTATATTTTATATATACACGTATCTCTTACTTTTATTGCTGTATAATCGATACTTCGTATTCTTTCACAATCAATAATAAATAATATATTATTTTCATCATGTTTGTGAATTATTTTCATCATTTTTTTACAAAA